AATGAAAAAAGACCCATTTACTTTTCACATAGAGCCTATGACCCTTTGTTACCATTCAGGTCTGGAACTGAATTCACCCCCAGGACTCAAGTTTTAGCTAAGCAGTAGATAGGTATGAGGGAGGTAACAACATTAGTGAGGTCGACACACCCTAGAAGGAGCTCTGGTAACATAGTGGTTACAAATCAGGCTGCTAACCTTAAAGTCGACAGTTCAAAACTACCAGCTGTTCCACGAGAGAAAGACGAGAATTTCTGCTCCCGTAAAGATTTGCAGCCTCGGAAACCCTGTACAAGGTCACTATGAGTCGGAACCGACTCCACGGTACTTAACAACAACAACAACAACACACCTTAGAATGATCAACCATTTGAGATCAAAAGACAGTATTTACCTATGGGCAACATTCAGAAGAGTTGGGAAAGAAGGAGAAATCGAAACAGAGACACAGGGAGGACGTGGGATAAGTGATGTTCCGTTGAGGGGGTTGCAATCAGTGAGATGAAACAAAGTGTACTTGCTAAATATAAAACTCATGATCTATTCCGCAAACCTTCACTCAATTCACAATAAAAAGTTTAGAATAAAAAGAAAGAAAGCTTCAGGAAGCACAGTCTACTCTGACGCACATGAGGTGGCCATGAGTCAAAACAGACTCCACCACAACTCTTACTGGTGTACCTATATATTTGATTTAAAACAAGAGTCCTTTCAGTGTGCTTAATCTTGTATTCCTCAGGCTAATTTACTAATCCAAAGGGAAGAGGGAACTTTCCTCTTCAGACACCAGTGACTTTCCAAGCCCTGGTGAACAGGGTGATGGCATGTTCCATCCCATCATGCTTACTGTGAGGAATCAAACACAAGCACATGAGGAAGTAGCCCTCATTCTTCTGTCCCCAGAGAAAGCCCACGTGGGCCCCAGCCACAGAGCCTGCATCAGCATGCCTTACATTCCATCAGCACCTCAACCAAATACAGGCCAGCAGTTTGCTCGGGGCAAACCAGCCGGATCCTGAACTTTTCCCAGAATCACAGAACTTGATTTTAATAGCCTTGGAAATTCTCCCTGAGTACTGAAAATAAGTGTTATTTCCAGTGATACATGCAGTGAAAGACGCATATTGATGTGGGGTAATTTTAGTTGTTTCTATCCATAGGGGTGGAGTGGAGATTAATTCAAATGACTGTTTTAAATTGCTAATTTTAAACTGTGGTTGATAAATGAATTAGTTCCTGGTAGTGGTGGTGGTGTGCTGTGGAGTCGTCCCGACTCATAGCGACCCTGCTTAGGGTTTCCAAGGCTGTATATCTTTATGGGAGCAAAAAGCCTCATCTTTCTCCTGTAAAAATGGCTGGTAGTTTTGAACTGCTGACTTTGAGGTTAGCAGCCTGACTAGTAAGCACTACACTACAAGAGCTCCTTAGGAGTTCTGAGGTGGCACAAATGGTGCTCTGCTGCTAACTCAAAGGTTGGAGGTTGGAGTCTACCCAGAGTGCCTGGTGATTTACTTCCAAAAAATCAGTCATTGAATACCCTATCGCGCATATGGGTTCAGCATGAGCTGGATTTCACAACTGGTTGTTTGTTGTTAAGTGATGTTGAGTCATTTCTGACCCACAGTGACCCTGTATAGGGTTTCTGAGGAGCAGCTGGTGAGCTTAAACTGCCGACCTTACAGTTCAAAGGCTTTGCAGTCTTGTGCATTAACCGTTATGGGTAAATAAAGACGTTGACTCATTTATTTATGGGCTAATGAAATTATCTTTACTTTTCACATTATCAAAGACAAAAGCAAACAGAAGTATTTTTTGCTTCTGTTTTATTTGCATAAAGTAGCTACTAAATAGGAAAGGAGAGGGACGTTAGGATTTCCTGTCATCCTCCTCAGTCACATCAATGTCAGTAGGTAGTTCGAAAGGCAGTAAACAAAGGGAGGTAGAATGAACTAAGTAACAGCCTAGTTAATCCATAGATTGGACAAATAGCAAGTGATTGGCATTATAAATTGGATCTATTCAAAGGATTTGAATTTAGCACTTGAATCATACAAGCTGTACTTCTAATGGATAATCAGAGTTAGCATTTGACTGACATCATGTCAGCTTTCTCCTTTTTAGGAGGGTTGAGAGAGCAGCGAACAATGAAGATTGCATAGAAATCTGTTTGAAGAAAACAGTCATGATTGTGTTCTGAGATTGGGCAGACAAGTTCTGTGTTCAACAAAAATCCCAAGTGGTTGTCAGGTATATACAGTGCTTTGTCATATTTACTCTTCATGTTAAAAATCTGGTTTAGAATTTTCTTTTATTTCGTTCAAAATAGCTAAGGTATTTTCTGAATTCCTAAAGAAAATGCAAATAAAAAGAAAAAGTAGAGCCATTCATAGACATAGCAAGACTAGATAAAAGCAGTATGTGGGGAAAAACGCAAATGCTTTTTTAAAGTGGTGTGTCTGCATTTCATCATAAATTAATAACTTTTATTATTTAAAAGGTACTGTCTGTGATTGTGGAAGATACCGAAAGGTTGTTGGACAATTAGATATTAGTGTTGCTAGACTAAAGACATCTATGAAGTTCGTCAAGAATGGTGAGCATCTTAGTTTTCTTTGGGCTATATGTCTGTCTCTTTGGTGTCTTTCAACACTAGGTTTCCAGCATCCTTAACAAGAAATACTCTGACTTAGGCAAAAGCTATTGAAATAATGTCATCAGTTTAAAGGTTTCTCAAAATACAACTTCTTAGACTCCAGATACTTCAGGGTTGCTCTTTACAGTGTACTATTATGTGAGTACTATTATGTGAGTCCTGGAGTGTACTCTTATGTGAGTCCTGGTGGTATAGTGGGTTAAGTGCTGGGTTCCTAACTTCAAGGTAATTGGTTCAAACCCACCAGTCTCTCCATGGGAGAAAGACAAGACTGTCTGCTCCAGTGAAGATGACAATCTTAGAAGTCCTACTAAAGAGTAGTTCTACTTTTTCCTACAGGATGTCTATGAGTTGGAATCAACTCAGAAACAGTGGGTTTATTAAAGTACAAAGGTGACACAGCGAGTAAGCACTCAACTGTTAACTGATAGGTTGGTGGTTCAAACCCATCATCTGCACCTCAGGAGAATGATGTGGCAGTCTGCTCTCACAGAGATTATAATTTTGGAAATACAATGGACCTGTTCTAGAGTGTTCTCTAGAGTCATTGTGTTGTTGTTGTGAAGTGCCGTTGAGTTGGTTCCGACCTGTAGTGAGTCTACTACATAGGGTTTCTGAGCAGCAACTGGTGAGCTTGAACTACCGACCTTTCGGTTCAAATCAATTTTGCAGTCCAGTGCATTAATCCACAACGCCACACCAGGAATCCATAGGGTCACTATGAGGTGGAATTAACTCAAGGGCAATGGATTTGTTTGTTCGTTTGATTATATGTGCACTGCCAGAAAGAGAGGAATGGAAAACAGAGCAAAGTTTGGTGAGCTGTGCCTTAAAAAGGCAAGGCAAGAGTCACACCGAACTAGCATTTCAGAATGTACACATAATAAAAACAGTCCCCCAAGCACTTAGAATGGTGCTCAAGTCCTTACTTTATCTCACTGAATTTTCAGAATACAGCCATTCCGCATTGTTCACAGGTTCTGTATTTGTGAATTCACCTACTTGCTACTGTTCATTTGTAAACCCAAAATCAGTACTTAAGATACTTCTGTGGCCACTCATGGACATACATGGAGAGTGAAAAATTCGTGTTGCCAAGCACATACATTCCTAGCTGAACAAGGTGAAAGTCTGCCTTCTTGTTTGAGTTCTCCTACTACAAACAGCTATCTGTTCCACAGTCTACGTAGTGCATTTTGCTGCTTTTTGCATTTTTCACATTTTTACAGTTTTTGGTTGGTGGCCCCAAAGCATAATGTTGAAGTGCTGTGTAGTGTTCCTAAGGTTGTGAAGTGACACATGGAGAGATTGTTGTTGTTGTTGTGAAGTGCCGTCGAGTCGGTGCCGACCCATAGCGACCCTGTATAGGGTTTCCGAGGAGCAGCTGGTGAGCTTGAACCGCCGACCTTGCAGTTCAAACAGCTTAGCAGTCTGACGCATTAACCCACAGTGCCACACCAGGACTCCATGGAGAGATTAGGTATGAGTTACAATGCTGTTGGCCATGAACTCTCTGTTAATAAAGCAGCAATATATGGTAAATAACCTTTCTTTAAACAAGAATACATACAATAAACAGTTATACTTGTATAATAATTGGCTGATAAAAATACTGTAGCCAGAGGATTATGGGAACCTAATCCATTGCTCCAAGAGCAACATTTACTATTTGCTCATTCAGTGTCAGTGAAAACATAGTAACAAGAGTCTACTGTACTTTCTTTCTAGGATGTAGAAGCTATGATTATACTGAAGTTTAGAGAGATTAACTTGCCCAGATACAGAGTTTATGAGCATTGGAGCAAGGACTTGAATGCACATGTCTTTGATTTTTCTATCCACAATACAAGGCAGTAGGAACTCTATATGTTTCTCTACATTTTGTCACTACCCTGTATTAGTCACTTGTCTGTTTTCCCCAAACCCTCAAAGTGAAAAGAGCTTGTGTGTGTTCTGGGACAGTAGGAATCAAGAAGTTCTTGTAGCTAGTTGTAATTGGCTTCATACTGTTGCACTTCCATGTATTGTAATCTAGCTATATATAGTTGCTGTTCATTTTTGGAAGGACACAGATGCCATCTTGTGTTCACCATCATTTCTAAGACCATTTGATGTTATTAGCTCCCTAATTACAGCTCTCATTCGGGTCCATACTGAAGATGTGTTTTCTGAAATGACTCAGACTGTCATCAATAAATTAAACCCTAGAAGGTTTAACATGGAGCAATAGTTCCTAACATTTTAGTGATCCAAGACCAGATTTCTTTGTGAATTTAATTAAAATTGTCCACTTAATTAAAATGTCTATGTAGTAGCTCTAAAACTCAATACATAGATCCCATAGTGGGCACTCAGACTGATTCTGAGTCTCCAACTCTGTCCTGAAGCTAACTCAGGAACTCAGTCTCCCTTAGGCACCTGGGCGCTATGGAGATGATCTTGATCTATATACATATGTACAGCTGGAATTTGGATTCACAGTGGATAAAGTTCTATATTATCAATAAGCTTTTAGCATTCCCTGAGATGTAAATTAAGGTTACAATGTAGAAATAATACAATCATTTTCCTCAAGATGCACATAGTTTATTAGGAGAAGAAAAGGATTCGATTAAAATATGATAGTGACTTGCCATGAAGGAGTCTTGGTGTGGCTCTGTGGGATAATGCACTAGACCACAAAGTTGGGTTTGAACTGCAAGATCGGCAGTTCAAATTCACCAGCTGCTTCTCAGAAACCCTATACAGGGTTGCTATGAATTGGAACCAACTTGAAGGCACTTAACAACAACAATAAAGGAGGAAGTAGAGAGGCAATGGGGATGAATACGATGAGCATAAAGGACTCCCCCTCCCCACCCTTCTCCACCCCCTCCCCCAGCCCATTTCTGTTCAGAAGCATTGGATCTAAAGGACAAGTGGAAATTTCAAGGTAGAGAATCAGTAAGCAGACCTACCAGGCATGCAGACACAAAGGCGGGAGAAAAAAAGACCATGCTTATGGGCCTACAAAAGGAGCTCTGGTAGCATAGTGGTTACGAATCGGGCTGC